AGTTAAATTTTGAAAACAAAAGTGTCTAGAAAAGAAAGGTATCAGAATAAGCATGGCCTTCTTTCACCAAATGATTACTCATTTATGGTTAAATCAACAAAATCAGACTCTATAGAATTTAATTCCAATTATTTGTATATGTAATTATATCCATGTACAATTTTACAAATATACTTTTGTGTTCGTGTCATCCAATTTCATCTTACATTACAGTCCAAATTCAACCATCAATTAATTCCCCATATATAACACTTGTTATCTCTCCACACACCAAAGATTAATCTTGTATCACAATTGCCTTGTATATAATTTTATTGCCAGATTTCACCAATAAAGAAATAACTTCACTATCACCCTCATTTGAAAATAATAATAATAAATAAATAAATAAGAAATTATGAACCCAAACACAGACACAAAAATTTTGCATAATAAAATTGTGTAAAATTTTAACCGAAGAAGATCCATCCAATAGGATAAATCTTGATCATTTTATATTTATTCATTATGCTTTCCTTGTAAGTTCAGAATTAAACACTCAAATGCATAAATTATATATATATATATATATATATATATATATAGAGGTAGGATCCTTTGACACCGGTGTCAAATTTGAAGTTTGACACCTCATCTGAGAGCCGTTAGATCAAAAAAGATCAATGGTGTCACATGCTTATAAATCAGAGTCGTTGATCTTTTTTGATCTAACAGCTCTTACATGAGGTGTCAAACTTCAAATTTGACACCGGTGTCAAAGGATCCTGCCTCATATATATATATATATATATATATATATATATATATATATAGGGGCAGGATCATCTTACACCGGTGTAAGAATAATAAGTCTTACACCAAATCTTAACCATTGATTTTTTACATCTAACGGTTAAGATTTATTAGGTCTCACTCATTAATTAATTTTTAATTTCCAATAAATCTCAACCATTGGATGCACGGAAATCAATGGTTAAGATTTGGTGTAAGATTTATTATTCTTACACCGGTGTAAGTTGATCTTATCCCATATATATATATATATATATATATATATATATATATATATATATTGCCGAAGTTAGTAAAAATTCATTCAACTTTCATTTATTTATTTTTTATATCTAGGGTGCAACGGGGTTTTTTATTTAATTATTTTTAATTATTTATTGATAACAGAGGCCTTGGGCTCGTAATTTTGAGATTTTAGATTTTCTTTAAAAGGGATTACTTTTCTCATGTAGTATGAGAAAAGTTCTTTTATGTTAAGAGACAAATAAGATGGACCCCACCAATTTTTAAAAAAAAAACGAAAAAAATGCACATTTTTTGAAGTGAGAGTGATATGAGAGATCAATCTCATGCTACGTAAGAGTATAATTTCCTTTCTTTAAAATGGGTTTTTGTGTGAAAAGGCCCAATCCTATTTTGGACTTTCTGCTTTGGTTTTTTGTTCATCTAATAAAGTTGTTTGGAATATGTAAGAACAACCTATATGGTCCATACAGAGTCTTACAAGCCAGCTCTATTAAAACTTCAGACTGGCCCAAGAAAGAAAACTGCAGAGATCCAAACACCGAAAAGAATTCAATGGAAAATGTTCTTGGTTTAACACATAATTATCAGAATATTTAAGACACAAGTATCCGAATCTTCCTATTTTTGTAAGAATCAGTTGAACTAAGAATCATTTAAATCCAAAACCTTAAGGTGATAGGTGATAATTTTTTTAATATTTTATATTTTATTCTCTAACACACCCTTTCACGCACGCAAGAGCCCTTTGAGCTTGAAGCATGGATAAGACACAAGTCCATTTTTGGTCTGTCTTATGCTGCACAAATCTATTTTTTTTGTCTGCGTTGTGTTTTTCTTAATTCTACCTAAAGTAGGGGTGGTGAGAATCGAACTCGCAACCTCGTGGTCACTAAAGCTCTGATATCATATAAAGAACCATTTTAACCCCTGTCAAGCAGGTCCAGGGGGAAGCCTGTGGCGAAGGACCACCACCAATGGGCTAAGCTGCATCAACCGTAACAAGTGGATCCGACATCATATCTCAACCCAAAACCTTAAGGTGATAGGTGATGGCATTTTTAATATTTTTTTTATTCTCCAGCACTATCGCAATATCACAATTACTAGCTTTGTATTGTGTTATTTTGTGATGTTGTTACCGAATGAATTAGAAATATTAAGCTATTAAGCTTTGAGAGTTATATGCATATTCCAATTGAGTTCAAACCAGATTAATTGGATAATTGATAATTGGATAAGGAAATAATATATATACAAATAAAAATGATAATATATTATAAAAAAAACCAATTATAATACACAGGAATCTATTAAAAATGAATAATAAATAAAGAATTTTTAGCGTCAAATTAATTTAATAATAATTACAATAAAATATAAACCGTTAAATTTCTCCAATTCTGAAACTTGGAAGACAAACCACAAAAGTTTATCTTTTTTACAATAGTGATATTGAGGTTCGAACCTATAACCTCATATAGATTACCTAAATTCCTCAAGATCAATCCTAGTTGGTTAAAACTTATCTAAGTCAGGAGATGTTAAAAGTTTGTATTTCTTTCTTTCATTATATATTTATAAATTTTGATAGGACCTCTTTTATTTAATGTTTGTAAAATAAGATATGAACACAAAAAATTATTCTTATAAATTTATCTGATTTAGTGAGTTTATTTTCAACTTATTTAAGCTTAATTATTTAGTGCGATAGAGAGTATCTATGAATTATTCTATCAAGGAAAACTTTAGAGAAGAGGACCAAACTCAACACCCCATTAATGACCAAAGATACCGTCTCATATTTCCCAGCATCTTCTGTTCTGTTGTGCACTTCTTCATAACAAAGAAAATGGACAAGGCAAAGCATTTTTTCATCATATCTATTATGTTGGGATTTTGAGAATTTCCATTGTGCAGTTGTCTTGAAACAAAAAAAAAAAAAAAAAAATGTCACATCAGCATTCTAATGGAACTAACCGGTAAAGAATATCCCTCCATTATGTGATTCATGTCTTTGACCCCAACAAAAAAAAGGGGGGGTCAAAGACATATATAGATGCCGTTTTCTTTGTCTTCCCTGGCTCCATCATATTCTTTATGTCATAGATCAATTATATACACTCATGTCACCATGCGTGGTTGAGTTCATTCCAAAGACTTGGCTCCAAAAATTCAAAACAAAACAGAACAATGAGTACCTAGTAAGTGTGTGGGTAAGAGAGTAAGAAAAAGACCATTATTAATTAGTATGGGAAAAAATAACAAACGTGTCACACATTGATTTAAGACATTTTCCAAAAGAAAGTGAAGGGAAATAACACAGTCCAATTGGGTGTATCTACAAAAACACAAGAAATAAAAATGTAAAAAAAGAAAAAGAAAGAGAGAGAAGCCAATTTCATACTATATTAGGAAAGATAAGCTTGAAGGCACCTTATCCTTAAGAATAATTTGTCCTAGCTAGTTAGTGCTTGTGCATGTATCTGAATCCTTTTACACACACAAACAATCTAATCAAAAATTGACAAAGTTAGAATCTCCTCCAAAAAAAACATGACAGATTTAGTTTCTACTTGGGTGAAGGGCCCAGAACTGAGAATGCAAACACCACTTAGACAAATATGGAGGTTTAGGAGAAGGATATGCTTATATTCTCTGACATATCAGTGTCCCCAACTTACTCAACGGTTTCACACTTCACTTCATTTCAAGCTACTTCTAAGTTCTAAACAAAATCGAAATCGAACACTCAAGCCATATCTACAGTCACATTATTTAATACCTAAAAATTGAAGGGAGAAATCTAAGAGTTCTTGATTTAGTGGCGACTCAGCTAAATCACAGGATTTGACCTGCGCATAGAATAGTGGATTCGAATTCTCAGAGTCTCAACTACTAGGAAAGGAGGAGAGGCTCAAACCCGAAACTGGATTAGTTGAATCTATTAAGATTTCGAACACCGCTTGATATCTACAAAAAAAATTGAAGTGAGAAGCATTATTGGCATTAGGTAATAAGTTCAATTTGAGAGCCCATATAGAATTCTCCTATAGCAAAATTTCCCAAATCACCAAGCACCATTCGTTATAATCACGAGAAGCAGCTGAACAAGTTTATAATTGAATGAATCAAATAAAATAATTTACTCTGTTCAATGTACAGAAACATATTGAATTAATTAAGCATAACGTGTAGGCGTTTTTGCTGCTTATTTGCAGCTCTTACTTCTGAGTTTTGGTTTGGCAAAAAAATTCAGTGCTTCCTGTGGCTTTTTTTTTTTTTTGGTTTCCCAAGGTATTTTTCGGTTGACATTCAAAAGACTAATCTTTTCGAGACAGGAGATCGCATTAAGCGGGTAAACCTCTCCCTACAAATTCTTTTCCATACACACGGCCAGAGATCGAACCTCGGTTAATATGCTTAAGGAACCCAGCTATCTACGAACTGTGTTGGGCTTTGTTAGTTGCTTCCTAATACTTATGCAAATCAGCATTAACTAATATAACAAATAAATTTATATTTTAATTCAGTAGGTGAAACATGTCCTATTACTAATTGAGTTTCACTGATTAAGTTCAAAGCTCAATTAATTGAACTTGAAATGTAACATAATGTTGGTCCTAACCTCAAAGAAAATAATTATCCTTAAAAAATGAAGGTTGAGAGAACATAAAATTTAACTTATACTATAAAGTACTAAGTTTATAAAACTGTCAAGAAATACAACTTTGGAAAACTATAACAAAAAGGACAATTTAATTTCTAGTTAATACATACATTTCCTATACTTCCTAGGATAACAGTGAGTGGAATAAAATTTATTTACATGTATAATATTAATGCCTAAATTTTCTTTATCTTAAACTGCATAATAATCCTTCAACCTTTTTTAGAAACCCCATATGAAACCAGTGTCCACATTTTCTACAGAAGCTGATGGATTTTCCTGATTCACAAAAGAATCACTGAAACATTTGATCGATGTACATCAAAGAGGAGGTGTCAGCATCAAAGTCTCTTTCCTGAGCTTTCTGCTTTGAACTTGGTTCATGGTTTTCAATCAACATCCTCAACATGGACTGTTCTTGATTCATAAAATAATCTTGGCACAGTGAATTCCCAACTTGGTGTGCAATTTGTGTGGATTGGTGGGACAAAGTAGGGGCAGCTTGGGTAAAAGTCCATGAGGCAGGGGAAATATCAGAGGGGTTTGAAGAATATGAAGATGCCAACATAGAAGTTTCAAAGCTATCAACTATGTCATCTTGTGTCATTGGATCCTCAGTTTGATTTGGATCTGAGAAGCAGGTCATGTGTGATGATTCCCCAGCAGCAGTTTTTGCTTCACTATAGAATGGAGAAGAATCCATCAATGGAGGAAGTTCTTTTTCAAAGGAGCTGAGCCTCACCAACTCAGGAATATGCATTTCCTTTCCACAAGAACTCTTCTGAAAAACTCTGCAGATAGCCCATTCATTCTGAAAGGAAACCAAGATAAACAAACCATGTTAAAAAGTATTCAAATTCAACTAGTGTCATGGTAAAAAACAGAAGGAAAAAAAAAAAAAAAAAACTTTACCATAGCCGTTTTGTGTAGAACATGCATGGAATGTTTCTCCTCTAATCTGTATTCATGCATGATCCAGTTTGTTTTTTCACCTCTTGGAGCTCTTCCTTTGTAGAAAACCAAAGTTTTCTTCATTCCAATAAGTACTTTTGCCCTGTATATCTCTTTGTCTTTGCCTGTGGCCTTCCAATAGCCAGCACCAGTGGCCCTATTTGTCCTTAAACCAGTTGGGTATTTTCTGTCCCTAACACAGAAAAAGTACCACTCCTTTTCACCCATTTTGGCCCTCCCTTCATTGAAAAACCAGAAGAAAAAAAAAAAAAAAAAAAACATTATTTTAAGGTACCATAAACAAGAATGATGTATAACTAAAAAGACTCAAAAGTCCATGTTAAGAGACTCACAAGGCAAGTCCCATGGTTCACACTTGTTCAAATCAACCTCCCCAATGGCTCTAGCACAGAAGCAATTATCAAGAACCTTTTGGGAGAGGTAGTGAGTTATGAGTTCTTCATCTGTTGGATGAAACCTGAATCCTGGTGGCAATTCAAATTCCTGGTATTCATCTCTTGAATTGTTCTCCATTGTTTCCATCACACACTAATATCCTGTCTTTTCATTTATACAAACAAGTTAACACCATGAATTTCAATTTGTAATTCTAACAATAAAGTACAATCATTTTTCAAATATGTGACATGGGAATCAATCAACATAATGAAAAATTAGCATTGTTTGATGATTTATCTGAAATCAAGACAAAAACAAAAGAGCAAACCTGTCAAAAGATTGGATAAGGATGAGCAATGAAAGAAACGAAAGCTTTTTTTGTTTACAAAATTACTGAAAATGTATGTAACCGAAGAGAATATAAGGGAAGAAAAGGAATGAACTGAAGGGATAAGATTTTGAGGTATTTGAAGATGTTGTTAAGGAAAGACTGTGTTGTTAGAAACATAACTCCTTAAATACTGTTTTTTATTTTATTTTATTTTTGGATTCATAGAACCGTGGCTTGCAGAACAACCTTGCTTTTAGCATTGTCTTTTTACACTTATGTGAGATAAGTTTCCTCTTCAACTTGACCAGGAACACCTCACCAAGTGACCCTGCACGTAACTGTTGATGTCACCGTGTGTTCTTATTATGTCGTAGCTGTAATAAATATGCTTTAGACTAGGTAAATTAATAATTGATGTTGCTCATTTTTAGTTTAGCTCAATCATATCATTAAAACTTGTTTCGCATTACTCAGTTTCCAATTTCTATTATAAGATTAATCTGAAATGGGTTTGAGTCACTTAAAGGACTAAATTGTACACATAATTTAAATTTCATTTCTAAGTTCCAAATTGTTATTTTACTCAATAATAGATAAAAATAGTAATAACAATAACAATTCTTTGAAAAGTTGGGGTTCTTTGTTTAAACTATAATTTTTTTTTAAGGGGCTTCTTGATCACACAGGTGAAAACATGTCCACATTCTTTTGTTTTCAAAACCGATAATTAAAGAGAGCTATGCTTTTACTCTATTATATAATTGTGTGATGTGGATGTTTATCCCAAAAAAACACATTCTTTTTGTGAAAAAAGTAATAAGAACAAAATTCGAGTAATATATGTGATCAAATCCATCTTATCCCGAAGATGTGATCCACTCAAAAGAACATAAATTACGTGAAACCAAAAACAAAACAAAAGCTGTAGTTACTTTTGAGAAGAAGCTGGCCAACAGATAAATATGAGAAATCAAAAAGTCTGGTGCAGTTTACCTAAAGGGAAATTACAACTAAGACCATCTTTGGCAACAGAATTTGTATATCTTAGGTCTTAAGATATGGTCTATTATTCATGTCCTATGTCCACCGTATCATAGGAAGGAGATATATGCGATATATGCCCATCACTAACACCAACTTTTTCTTTTTAAGTAAATTTTTTTCATTACAAACTTTTTATTTACAAACTACACTAGATATGACCGGTCATACTTCAATCAAGAGTGTATGACCGATCATACTTAGTGTAATTTGTAAAAAAAGTTTGTAAACGAATTCTTCCCTTTATTATATTTCATATGTAATTGTTAATACAGTTGCTTTATTAAGAATGGGAAATGGATATCATAGTTTAAAAAAATTGAATTTCTTCTATACACAATCACATTTGGTGGTTTTTTTTTTTAATATACGTTCAAAGTCTTAATGAACCCAATTAAACCAGTTTCTGATTTGTGGCTCTTCACCCTCTTCAAGAATTGCAACCAACGGGAATCAAATTTATTATTCTTTGAACAAATCAAATCAAGGGGTTGTTGCGTGTAACACCTCGTAGTACTCCGGTTGTTAACATCATGATATGATAGCGTACACAGCGGAAGAATTTATTAAATAATTGAAGAGACGTCTTGTAAAAATACGTATAAACTTTTTCCAAAACATTTTTTGAAAACATTTCTAAAAACGTTCACATGAGATATCACGAAAGCGTAAATCTAACACATATAATTACTAATTAATCTCATTAGCCAGTATTAGTGGCCATTGACTAACCGGATATGACAACAACTGTAATTCCTGCCAGAGTCTCACGGACAGCATAGCGGTTGTTTAACGGATAACTGTGAGATAAGAATCTCACACACAATCACACCTGATAAACACAGTTAAATAACAGACAGCTTGCAAGTCCCACACGGACTGCAATCCCCTCAATGGGTCAGTACATACATAATGGCTCTGTGCCCAAATTAACAAATCCATACATCATATCTTTGAGTACTCATACATGCATCTACCATAACTCATAATACATACATCCATAATCCAAAGGCTCAGATAATAATAACTTGGGCATTATTACATACGTCAACAGAGTCTCAACATAGTTTATCTAGGCATGTCAAAACACTACACATGCCATATAATCAAATAACAACATAAAGTAAACAGCAGCCTCAATCCACTAATCTGTAACTGGGCCCTTGCCCGTAGACTGCACACTACTACCATGGGTACCTGAAATGATGTCTCCAAAAAGGGGTGAAATAACAACATCTCAGTAAGCTCAAGGTTCTTAGAGGATCCTCTAATCCCCTGAGCCCACTTCATGCATGACAAGTCAAATATAAAGCATATATAACAAACATACAGTATAAACATAGCATCATATGTCATCCTCTGGTTAACTATTCAAGGGTTCTCCCCAAGAATAGCTAACTGACATGTCTCACATGCCTAGTGTGACTTCCAGGGTCAAGCCATAGACAGTCAACACAAACTGTAGTATGAAATAACTCCCAGGTCAAGTCATAGGCAGCCTACATACATATTCACTGGCCATGAACCTCATACCATACATCATCGTGCATCATCATAACATCAAGAATCATATAATATCTATATGAATGTGAATGAATGCACATATACCATATATCACATACTTTTATATAATTCAGCCATAATGCCCACCATCATGGCGGGGCCACAAGAGGGAGGAGCAACCAAAACCAGGAGCTTACCTAAAAGAGCTTAGCACAAGCCTACACTCCAATATAATACGTATGCTCCAATAAAATCCTCGAGTGCAAGGTTCTCTAGGCACACCTAGAGTAGGAACCATTCACATCATTAATTACATATTAATTAATCAAGTCATATCCAAGACTTAATCATTTAATGATTTCACTTTTCATAATCATATGCCAATAATATGCCCATTACAAGTCTAAACCATTTATTACTTAATTACGTGTTTTTAGTTCATTAGGAAGTGTTCACTTGTTACACAAAATCAACCATATAGTTTAAGCACTTACATAGTCTTAGAATCACACTCAAGGATCACTAAGGTAACTTAGATTATTTTCGACACTTCCATGTCATCACATTCCTTCATGGCCGAATTATATCCTAGGTAAACCCTAGGTTAGATTTTAACTTTACAAGTTGATTTAAGCTTTGGACATCCAATGAACCCTAAATCATGCTTCCACATAATTTTGCACCTAAAACCCTAATGATTCCCTACATGGCCGAACCTATAGAATGTGAATCCTCATGATTTTCTTTCCTTATATTACATGGTCATGTGTCCATAAACTAGTCTTAAACTTAAGTTGTCAACTAACTCCATAATTAGGTTTAATTGGAAAATCCTAATTATCCTTGATTAGAAACCCTAGGTTACTTTAATTTTAGGGTTTTATATTATTATGTCACTTATGCATTCGCACATATCCACATTAGGTCTTAGTTCATTAAGTTCACTAATTACCTAATTAGTGCTTCTAAACCCTAATTAGGTCTATTTTTAGGGTTTTATAATTAATTAATACATTATGCATGGTCCACTTCACTAAAACCCTATATTAGTGTCCTAATTAGGTCTTGAACTAATTTTAAAATACTAACCCTAAGTTGTTGTCACTTGGCCGAATTGCAAGGGTGTAAGAATTAGGGTTTTTAACTTGTTTACTTTACCATTTCTTCACTTAATTAAGTCCTACACTTAATTAGTCCACTAATTCACCATTTAATTAAATTTTAAACATACACTCCTAATTATACTATTTAGGAAAGATTTGATATAATAGAGTCATTGGAGTTTAAATCCATTCCTTAATCAAAATTAGTGTTTTTAAGCTTAAAGGTTGCATTTTTAACATTTCCCTTGGTGCTACTAATGATTATCCACACTTAACAACCTTAAGAACCAATTTTTATCAATTTAAAACATCAACCCCCTTAAGAACTCATGATGGCCGAATTGTTTAGGTGGTGGTGGTGGGATTTTTGTCACCATTTTTCCAAGGTTTCATGCTTACATCTTCAAGTGAGCACCAATGCTTCAAACTCTCATCTTTCTCAAGCAAGCACGCTTTCTTTCCACAAAGAACATACCTTTAAGAAAACTCAAAGTTAGAACTCAAGAAACACAACACAAAGGTGGAATTTTTCAAGAAGAAAACTCAAGAAACTTACACTAGAACGTAGTGAAATAATCATCAAAATGGTGTTCTTCAAGTATAACTCAAAGCACCATCACCATGGCTTGAAGAAGCCATGAACACGCTGTTGTATGGAAAAGAAGACCCACGAAAATTTGGCTTTTCAAAATAAAAATACGATATTCTTGAAGAGGATGATGAGGGAAACAACTTTGGTGAATAGTGTTTGGTGATTTGAGGGAGTTTTGGGTGGAAAGCTAGAGAGAAGGAGGAGAAAATTTGAATCTCCAAAGGGTAGAGAGAGAGAGTGGGCGGCTGATGGGAGTGTTTGGGAATTGGGAGGGTTGCCCTAGTCTTCTAGGATTTTGACCAAGTCACTTAAGTGACTTTCTGTACTTTAGTAACACCCGGTGTAATTTTTATCTGAACCGTTATCAGTTTTTCCACCTGGAACCTCCAAGACTCAAACTTTAAGTAAGTAATATTTATTTTGCCTAATTATCCTATTTCTAACTTAAAAATTTGATTAGTAGATCACAGATCCACTTACAGCTCTTTAATTGCACTATATACTTCACCGGTGTTCTTAACTGTACCCGAATTTTATAATCTTCTTAGCTTTAACATTATTGGTCTACTTATGA